TATGGAATACCCGTCAACTAGGCTTCAGTCATCATCGCGTTCACTTTACTTTTTACTGTTTTTTTACTTTGGAGTGACCCACTGCTGCATGAGAATTAGCTGTCTTCTTGGATGTCTCTGATGATGGTAGTCCACCCATGGTAATGGGCGTTGAGGCCAAATGTCGCCAGTCACTAGTTCCATATTTGGATTGGAGGCCCAGTTCTATGTTATATTCTGAATGCGAGATGACAACAGTCGGTGGTTGCTCCTGGGAGAAGATTGAGAGTCCGGAGATGTAAGGTTTTATTCGTCCAACAACTCCGGCCTATAGGCTGAAACGTAAAAAGAGAAATGTTATGAATACAGCGATACGCAACAGACAAAGAGTGTGATACACGACATTCTTCCCCGGTAAATAAAATGTTGTCAGACCTCTGCTTCTTAGGTTACAAGGGCGAGTTCGTTGTTGTAATTCTAAAAGTGAAGGTTGTTGGTTATTCGCGCGCTGAGGAGAGTTTGCCATATGAGGTGAAACGAAATCATCTGTAGATTGGTTGTATGTACTGTCATTTGATATATATTTGATGAAAGGAGGTTCGGGGACCGTTGGTGGACACGATGGTTGTCGAGGGACTAGATGATGAATGGATACCGTTTCTTCTCTGCCATTTGTAAGTATAACATGGGGATACCTTGCATTACATTCAATCAGCTCTACCACGTCATCTAGTGGCTCGTACTTTGATACTTGTGGAAGGTGTTTCATTACATTGCACTGATGATCGCAATGTTCGCGTTTTGGGCGGTTTAGCCTAGTTTTTCCTTGGTGTTGAGGTGCACCGCATTCTTGTACTCCAGTAGGACGTTTTTCAACAGTTTTTCAAAATCTGACGTCGTCTTCTGGTTCGCCAATGAAATAGCACTTTTCACCGTTCTCACCAAATTCTTTGCTGCATAGTGCGAACAGGAGTTACGTAACATTATGCATAACTGTCGGCGACTGATAATTGTCAATCTAGAGGGCTGCATGCACATACTTCCAACGTTAGTGGGACTGTTCATGATCAGTTTCCGCCACTGGGTATGCACAGTCGGTAGTTTGCAAGAATATAATGACACAGGTTGCTTCAACTCACGTATGGCGTTCAGGCCCAGGATGAATTGAATATTCTCAGCGACTAGAAATCGAGTAGGAATGAAGCAATTTATCACTAATCAAACCAATAACGACACTTCTCCACCAATGGGAGTTTGTGACCCGTAATGCTAATAATTTTCTCACTCGTTTGACGAATTTGGGCTTCCGGACAGATGGATCGAAGCACTTCAGTAGAAATTATAGATTCCGTACTTCTTGTGTCTATAATGAATTTGTGCTTGGTACCCGATTGTAATGTCACCTCTCTGTAAAGGAATGGGACACATTGACTTTCGGTTCGTAGAGAAAGCACAGGGTCTGTTTCTTGTTCGGCTGATGGCTGTGCGAGAGAGCAACGGGTTGCTTGCAAACTCTCCGAATGTGGCCAGTTTTCCTGCACGCATGACACTTGGCATTGCGGAATCGACAATTTGAGCGCCAGTGGTAAGCTCCCCTTGACAGACACGGATTGATATTTTTGTCGTTACCGGAAGGGTCATGTGGCTTCGATGTTTGCTTGGTCACTGGAGGTCGGATTGGTCTCCTTTTCTTCTGTTGAAATTGGATGAATGATTCACTGGAAGTCGCTTGTATTAAATCATCATGTTGTTCACAGATCTTCCATGCCCTTCCGAAAGTTAGGTTCTTCTTCTCCAGCAACTTCCGTTGGAGTGTCAAATTGTTTATGCCTGCCGCTAGGCGGTCACATAATTGTTCCTCCAATCGATTACCGTAGTTGCAGCGCGATACCTGCTTGTTCAGCTGCAGAATGAAATCTCGGCAAGTAATATTCTCTGCACGAATCAATGAATTGAATTTAGCTCGTTTGTGTGCCTGGAATGCAGTGGACAGCAGGTGGTTGAACAACAACGACTTCAAGGACTCGTATTGTACTTTAGCCGGTGCCACAGGAAACGCCAGGTTTTTTTCAACAAGGAGTAGAGGTCACGGCCATCCGCAGTGAGAAATAGGGCTGACTGATTTTTGCACCACCTTTGCGAATGCTGCACCACAATTCGTACCGTTCGACCCACTCCTCGATCTCGGATTGGCAGGCATATAGGTTTAGTTCAATGGTTGGAAGCTCCATCGCGCGACGCCAATTTGTAGTAATTGTACTATATACTGATCACGAAATACGAATCACGGACGTCACGTAAGCACTGGGTCTCACTGGTACTAGCGTAATTAAGACGCGAGGAAGAGGCCACAGAAATAGCAGTTTGTTTATTGAAAGAAATCAGGGGGTTTAAATAATATGTACAAAACAAGTTCACTAGTCACCCAAGCCTCCGCCAATCCCGTGCTAGTATTTCTGGCGTTGCTCAGCTTCTGTCTGAGCCGCACGGTTTCTGATTGGTTGGTACACTCGACCTGTGGTCTGTAGTCCAGAAGCTGTGACACGTACGCGCTTTGCTGACGTCACCCGGGATGCTTGATTGATCACAGTTGCCAGAAAACTGTAACCTGTCGTTCCGTGGTATGCGTCATCTCGTAGGCTAGGATCACCACAGATGCACAGGAAACCATAACACAAGACACCCACCGCGACTGGGTTGGTCTTTTGGAGGCTCCTTTATCACTGTATGGTCTC